CACAAATCCTGGCAGCCACTTTTTCTGCTACTTGGTTGGGTCTGCAAGAGAGAGGACCAAAAATTTAGTCCAGTGGAATCCAGGGGAGTGGTTTGGGGCATGGTTTAAAACAGACTTGTTTGCCAGGGTGTTAATGTCTGTTTGGTTTTCTGTACCTTGAATCCTTTGTGCGTTCATTGGCTTGATAATATCCAGCAATGACATAATTATTTTCTTTACACCAAGTATCGATCTGAGACAGAGGCAGGAGTCATGGAGCCAACGTGAAGGAACAGAAGGACAGCAGAGGTCAGGCAGAATTCATTTTCAACATAAGAAAAAAAAATAGATGTAGAGGTACTCTCAGTTTTCACTAGTCAGTGTGCATAGCTAAAATTAATGTAATCTAAAACTGCTCTGTGTTTATATCAATACTGCTTTACAGAGCTGTTGATTCAACTATATCATTTTGAAAGCTGTATTTTTATTTCTTGTGAGTCCATTAAGTATCTAAAACTATCAAATGACCACTAGGATGAATCAGAAACCCATATAAAGTTAACTTTTGTCTTGTTGTATTAGACTGCATTAGTCTGAGATCAGTCTATCCAGTAAACTTGCAGCCAAGTGTATATTTTACTTGACGGATACTTACCAGTGTTAAAGCTACTTCTAGCATAGGTGCCAGAGCCAAAGTACCGTGAAACAGCGGCACACAGTCCACACACAAGACTGGATCACTATGGCTGTCTTTCTTTTTCTCCTTCGTCTTTTCTGCTACCAGCAATCCATTCACGGCGCAGTGAGGATACTTGGCAGCGTGTAAAAGCATTTTACAGTAAGCCTGGCTCGTCAGTTGGATAGGCATGTTTATAAGACAATCTGCAGAACCGCTGGAAAAACAGATCCTGCCGAAGTAGCTGACAGGCTACACGCTGAGGAGGGACTTGCTGCCTGCTAACGCTAGCTATCTTTACTTATCATGCCCAGAGGAAAGTAGATACATCTTCCTCAGCAAGTCGCCTTACTGCTGCAATACGCTGTCGAAGCTAAGTCTTCTAGTTTGTACATGTAAGATTTACAGTCACAACAGTCTTTTTTTATGCTAGTCGGTGTCACAAAAGCTAGTCAGAGGAGCTAATCTGACTTCCACCTTCCACTCGTTTCTGTAGCACCGGTGGTGCCGTAAAGCAGAATGGAAATATCGCACAACGAGATCATCTTCCGCTCGGTCCGGCCTTGTGACCTGCCTCCGGGTAACGTAATTTGAGTATTTCCGCTCACATTCTCAATCATACTTCCTTTCAGAAACGTCGGTGGACGGAGCAGGGAAGAGAGTAGGTTGTGTTTTTTAATTAACAGCACTTTTCTAACCTGGTAGAAGTACACTTCACGTCACCATTTACCTACACTATGACATTATACACATTTAAAATGTATGATGAAACGGCATTTTTTACCGAAATAAGCAGTTGTGTAGAAGTGACTTTGTCAGCGCGGATCGGAGCTAGGACGTGCTAACTTACCGGCTAGCTGTCGTTAGCGTCTAGCATCAGATTCGTTCAGGCAGGTGCGTTACGCATACATAAAAAATCTCATAGGCTATTCGATATGCAGTTTCAGTCAGTGGCGTAATGTTGAATTATACAGTACTGTCCAAGAAAAACAGTTTTTTCTCTGATTATTTTTTCCCGGGGCGCTATGACCTTGTGTTTGCAGCTAACGTTAACATTAGCTTAGCATTGCGGTGTACCGCTAGACCTTTGGTTTAGACGTGTAGTCTCATCAACTATAAATCGACAAACATGTAAATAGCTAATATTAATGTAAATCACAATTTTTGATTACATTAAGCATACCAATGTTTAAAGACTGTCAAATGTTGGGGCACTATCTTATATACTCACGACACAGGACTAGTCCCTTAGGTAGCAACTTCGCATAAATTAAATGTTTATTCATATATTGTTATATATGATCTCCAGATGAAACAGGTTATTTTTCATGGTATCGTTAGAATTTGTCCGCTGTAACATCAAAATCATTGTAGGAAAGCTGAGTGAATATGTGGATGTGTTTAAATGTGTTGAAAAGTATTTAATGTCTCAACTATGACTTCTTCCAGAATGCTGGCCACCAGAGCCTTTCGCCTTGTTGGCAAACGTGCCATCTCCACATCTGTCTGTGTACGCGGAGGGCATGGTAATTATCACCTGATATGACATGGGGTATTTTCTATTTCTGGGTGGCGGTATGATAGCAGATGCAGTTTGTGTCCTATGTAATCACTGTTTCTACTTATGATTCTTGTACATTGACTACTACTTTTGTGTCACAGAGGTAAGCATGACATTTTCGCATAAATTAAATCACTGGTGACCTTTCAAAAGCTCAGGTGATTAATTCATCTCTCAACTCTAAATCTAATATGTAAAACATTAGCTAATATGATATAGAGGAGAGTAAAGCCCATCAGTAAATTAACTTTCAGCAGGTCTTTGAATTCTGTTTACATGTTCTCTCTACTCAAATATCTAATATATGTAGAAATGTATTAAGTGACATACTAAATGTTGGGTGTATATGAATTACTAGGTCATGCTAACAGTGCACAGCCAAACACCACACCTGCTAATTTCATGGGGTAGCACATCCACAACCAAATCCAGACAAATGTTTGTTTTTTTTGTGTTCTTAAATAAACTTCATTAGCTATGGAAACCTAAATTCATAATTAATCTATCAATGTAGTTTGAGGTTAGTAATTGCAATTTTAAGATGAAGCAAAAAACTGAGGAATGCCACAAGTGATATTTAGCAAAATTCAGATGATGACATTTAGATGCTTTCTGTAGTCATTGCATTGCTTTCTCTCTGAGTATTTAATAGAAAAGAAACGTTTTAGTGTTAGAATACTTATGATATTTCATATGAGGCAGGTATTTCTAAAGAACATCGACCCGGATGAAGGCATTCATTCTTTGTTGTCCCCTGCAGGTGTTGCTAAGGTAGAGGTCTACACTCTCCCTGCCTACTTTGACAGGCCGGATAACCCCCTCCCAGATATCCGCTATGTGCAGAGCCTTAGTGCAGAGCAGAAGTCCCTGAAGGAGAAGGAGAAGGGCTCCTGGGCCGCACTCTCTAATGAGGAGAAGATTGCATGTAGGACTGCAACACTACACTCTGCTTTTCTGAGATGCTCTAATGCTCATCACTTTTTGCTCAAGCTGATTTTATTCCCAGCAAATATTCTATAAATATGTGCAGTAATGTCTTACTAGTTTCAGTAATTTTTCCAGTCTTACAACTTTAATCACCAAGCTTTGTGTGTTTCCAATGGTCAGTGTACCGCATCAGCTTCAACCAGAGCTTTGCTGAAATGAACAAGGGATCATCTCAGTGGAAGTCTGTGGTTGGAGGCGTGCTGTTCTTCTTCAGCTTCACTGGGCTGATTGTGCTCTGGCAGAGAAAGTATGGTAAGTATGGGGGAAAAATAGCTGTTGTATGCATTCAAATATGTGCAGGATGTACAGCTGCACCTGTTTTCCAAATAAAGGCTCAAAGAGTAACAGAAGAAGGCAGTTATCAGTGTTATATTGTTTGCTTGAAGTCTACTCAGGCTCATGGCATGACCTGTGCTATTGTCTATTTGCAGTCTATGGACCAGTCCCACACACCTTTGACCCTGAGTACAAAGAGAAGGAGCTGCAGAGGATGCTGGACATGAGAATCAACCCAGTAGAGGGCTTCTCAGCCAAATGGGACTACGAAAACAAGCAATGGAAAAAGTAAAGGACCCAGAGGACCATCACACATACTTGAAAATAAAGGCAGACCAACTCAACAATACAAGAATACTTATATTTCTGTATTTATCACTTGTCCACATTTACCTCAGCTTGTGCATTTGGAAGACCTCTTCCTCTTAAGGTCATTGTGTATAATAGAAATAAAAATAAAAATGGCTAAACTGACAAAAAAAATTCAGTTGTTAACTTTGTGACTTCTACATGAATACTGCTTTTACATCAAATGACTGTTTCCTATCAGAAATTCAGGAGAGAATGACTAGACCTAAAATTATATAATGAGGCAGTTAGGTTTTTTTTGGTTATGTACAGGTTGTAACTGTAAAATAGCAGTGTAGGTTTTTTTTTTTTTTTTTATACATTCCGCTCAAGGTTTTCTCTCCAAAACGAGCAGATGCTAAGTATGTTTGTGTGTTTTTGAACACCAACTTCATCACCAGGAGTACTTGTCTTATGAGCTAGTTAACAGCTGAAGTTTTAGTCACATCAGCAAATGATCAGTATCCTTTTCAAAAATTCAAATCCAAATATATTGTTACCAGCTACTCATTTGTGTTTGTCATTGTGACTTTGGTCATAGAAAATATTAAAATAAAAAATAGACTTTAAACACCTACCAAGAAATTGTTAACAGTAGGCTTTTAAAATATTTTTTCTGCCCTGACAAATTTCTGAACAAATCTGCCCATGTGATCATCTCTTGGGGATTACAGAACTAGGTCGAAGGTCGTGGTAGTACTTAAAATCAAAGGTTCCCATTTGTAGGTTTATGGAAGCAAAATATTTTGTCATTGACACTAGAGGTACACTGTGGTGCTGACGACGGCTCGAATTATTCTTGTAATTGTTGCATAGCAACATTGCGTGGACTCGAAACAAGTATGTGGGGGCTCGGGTGGGTAGTTAGGATAAACCCAGGATTACAGGAGGGATCGACTTTTTGCTCATTTTATGGATTAATTTAATATGTATAATGGTTCTCGGTTTCCATATGGGGTATTAGCAATGTAACTGTCATATAAAGGATTTGGAGGTTCATGATAATATGCATATGTCTAAATCCTACATTGTTAATTGTTGGACATTGCACTGAAGCTGTGTGAGCATGAAGGTGAAGGCTGGGACAAAGTACAGCTGAGCTGACGGCGGCATGCTGTGATGATGTCACTTACCGGATGAAGCCGCAGCTGCAGTTGTTTCACGTCAAAACAATCCGGAAGACGACACAGCATGACGGAACTGTTGTTGGTGCCGAATTAATAACATTATTGTTTTAGGTACGGTAGTGGAACTTCATAATGTTGTCGAATAACAGGCAAACATAGCGACGGAAGTGAAGGTTTTTCCCACTGTTTGGTAAGTTGGAAGTCGGTCATTTCAGCGTCGCGTTTTGGATTCAAAGTCCATGCAAACATAACCTAGCTGCTCCACATATTAAAGTGCTGCAGCTCATCGGAGGCTGGTTCAGGGTCATCATGGGCAATGGAATGAATAAGGTAGGCTTTGCTTAAGTGTTTTTGTTCTGGTGTTATGTTGTTGTCAGTGGCTGTTTTGTGGTAAAACTCCACAAAGTCTACCCCGGTGGACGCCTGACTCAACTACGTTAATCAATCACGTCACATGTTTTGCTCTGTCTCGCATTGATACTGTGCGATAGGCAGTGTAAATGAATCCGATGCATGCTGGATACTACGCTCGGAAGTTTTTAGAGCCGCACACAGCTTGCGTTTTCATTGTTTCAATAATGTGTCAACAGCTAAAACCAAGATTTAGGCTGCCTCAAGGTTGAGATCCGGCGACATTTAAAAGCAGCTGGTTTCAACCTGTATCAGAGGCACAGCTGGAAGGCTTGGTTTTTACTGAAGTGCCCAGAAGGAAGGCACTGAATCCATCCAGCTTAGTTGCCGACCTAGTCCTCTAACCTTCTAATGAGGGGCTCATGTAACTGCTCCGAGGTCACATCAGTGAATTATGACATTGTCAGACTTCATTTAAATTTTGCTCTACATTTGTATCATGATACTGTGACATTTACTTTCCAAACGATGGCTAAAGGTTAACTGCTTACATGTCAAATAAAACAAATGCCAAGTATAGTTAGTCAATACAATGTGAAACTCAAACAGCAAAATTTGTGTTGGAAACCAGTCTGTTAAGTAAGACCAGTGAATTTTAATTTCATATTAAAAAAGCTTTTCATAAGCATCTGTATTTCCATTCTTAATTGCAAAAGAAAATGTGCAGGCTTTGTTGGTTTTACATTTTATTAGTGTGAATCCAGTGCTTAATAGTCATTAGGCAACTACTGCCTCATGGTACTAGTACCACAGTTGTACAGCATCGCTCAGTAACTGCTTGTCGCTCATCACTTTGTGCTGATAATCATGCATCGTTGCATCAGGCCTTGTATGGCTACAGGGAATGCTTGCTTTGCTGGTACTTGCTTCTTAAGCCTTAAGCCTTAAATCCAATCTGGCTCAACCCACGACATTTGTTCCTTTCAAGTAAATTTTTTGAAGCTGGAGTGTAGTGAATATCTAACCTGAATGCAACATGTCTGTGACTGCTGCTTCACAGGTTGTCGACGGGCTCTACCTTGGGAATATAAGAGGTAAGACAATCATGATGTAAATTGATTTGATGTTTCTAAGTTTGACGCAAACAGCAGAGCTGGGTCAGGCCAGGTTTTCCGCACAAAAGGCAGAACGTCCCAATGATAGTTCAATGATAGGGGTTGACACAGTAGAATATTGCAGCCCTTTACAATCAGTATTCTTAAACATACATTTTGATCTTACTTACTGTGAAAGGTTTTCAATTTAAATATTGTCTTATACAGTATATTTATAGCATATGGTCTTAACTATCAAACATCAGATTTTGAAACTGAAAGTTGCTCCTCTGTCAAGCATAGATTGCAGAAAGATGTAAAAGCCTCATTTACAAAAAATAATTAAGAAGCTAGGGAGTGTTACTTCATATGGAATAAGAATTAAAAGTGGTTAGTATATCATTCCCTGGCCTGTAACAACCCCTTCCCAGTTAATGTGGCGTTTGCAGATTTCTAACTTTAGCTGCATGATTATGGCTCTACATGATGGCACAAACATAGTGGCTAAAATTAGTTCAAGTGACGGGAGCAAGTGACCACAGGCCTAACGGTGCCAAATGATGTTGCAGGACAGTAAACAGCTCACAGACCTGCTTCTGTAACAGCTTACTGTATAGAGTAACTGGTCTGATTTGTTGTTGTGTTTGGTTGGTGTGATATATTCCTCTCTCTCCTTGTCCCAGATGCAGAAAACAGAGAAAGTCTGTCTAAGAATGGCATCACCCACATCCTGTCTGTGTACAACAATGCTAAGCCAGTGTTTGAGGTTCGTGGACATTCCAGGTTGGCTGGTGTTTTTGCGATGTGTTCATGACAGGTTGTTATGAATCAAACCAGTACTTTCTGAGAAAATTTTGGTATGATTGTGCATGTCTCTTTAATAATGTGATGTGTCCTGTCAGCCAGCTGGGGGTGGTGATGAGTTATGGTTGGAGCAAGAGACTTGTGTGTCTGAGATGGACAGTTCAAGTGCGCACTGATGAGCTTTGTAGGGACATGTACTAATAATATCACAAACCATGTGAAGATTCTTAAGCCACTGAAATCTGGTGTAATTACCAGAGAGAGGGACAATAAATGTTTAATTTAGTTGTGTATAGTAGTGATTTGTTACAGAGGGCCTTGCTGTCCAGTATGTATTAGCAAGATCTACAACATATTCTCCATGGCTTATCCAGGTGATGGGAAATTTAAGTGTGTTTGTCTTGAACAGTGGAAAATAATTTTTAACTCAACAACAGAAAGCATTCACAGTAAACTACTCATTTAGATAAGAAATTTCTCTGTTTGCCAGACTCATCTGTAAAAATGACTTGGGCCATAATTTTTGCCACTAATATACATATAATTGAGGATTTAGAGGTTAGATTCAGATATAACATGCATGGTCTATTTTCTTGAATTTTGTTTCAGTGCTTATATAGTTTTTCATATATGTTTTTCAGGACATGACGTACCTTTGTATTCATGCAGCTGATGCTTCCAGCCAGAATCTGCTGAGCACACACACACACACACACACACACACACACACACACACACACACACACACACACACACACACACACACACACACACACAGGCTTTTAGACTAACTAGTACTGCTTATACCTCACATTTAAAATGTCCTTCTCCATGTGAATTTCTGAAGCCATGATGAGTCATGCAGTATGGTTTCAACACTGTCACTCACCAGATGTGTTCCCAGAGTATGAGAGCCACGCAAACCTTTACAAAGATTATATAGAGATTTGTCAAGTTTTGACAAAAAACTGACTGAATAATTTTTTTTCGTAATTGCACGTTCCTGTTGGTAATTTTCAGACATTAACTACTTGCTGAATTTATACTTTTTCTAAATTTAAGTAGTATATCAGAGAGTGAAGTGACCAGTAGCTCTTAGATTATTTAAGTTATATATTATAAGTATGTTCCTGACTTATAGATATATGAAGTGAAGAAGACCCTGCAATATTGAATTAATCCTATAATGTTCCTAAATTTTGAGTGGTAATAACAGTTTTTACTTTCTGTGTTTATATGTACAGTATATATGTATGTGTGTGTGTGTGAGAGAGAGCGAGAGAGAGAGAGGGAGGGAGAAACGAGGAGAGGGAGAAGGAAAGAGAAGGCGAAAGAGAGAGATGTGTGTTCAGTGTGTCGTTGCTCATTAGGAGGCAGACTCAGTGTTGAAAGAGGTATGAGCTGTCCCTCCACCCTTCCAGCGGTTGCTAACATAACATATTAGTCATAGCATCTGTGTTGATTTCTATGTAGGGTCTTTGACCTCATGCAACACTAGCTGTAGTCATTCTGGATTAATCTCTTGACATGGGTTAAGGGCACAAAACAGAAAAATCAATCACAGGTTGCAGATTGAGCATTAGTACAAAAGAGCACTGTCATGTCTTGCGACCCCTGCAGACGACCCACTTTTAAAACAGTACTGGAGCTGGTGAGGGTTTATGTCATTGTTGCTGCACCAGTGCCTTCTACTGGTTGGTCGGAGCTCCTGCACAGACGGAGGTGGGCTCTTGGAGGGAGCTGCATAGACCTCCGATACATTATGTTCCTTATTGGCAGGTAAAAAACTGCTGTTGACACCATGTTTATTGGAAGCACATTGCTCTCTATACCATTCACAGCTCAACAGCGAAATCTGCGGAGACAAAGACTGTACAATAAGGGAATTTGCCATGCTAAAATGGGGAGAAAGACAAAGGAAAAGTGGGGGAAACTTTTAATGCAGGATGATCAATTAACCTTCTGACAACATAGTAGACAAATGTGTGACACATTGCTTGCTTGAATGCAGGCTGAACACTGATCCTTCGTGTCTGTAAGGCCAATCCACCATGACCAGGAGACTCAGACTGTAAACTGATCCAGAGTAGATATATGAATATTCTGGCAAAATGTTGGGGTTATTGGCCTGGATGGGGAGACTAACTCTGAGGGTGACTTTGAGCTCTGCAGTCATTGAAGTTGTTGTTGCTGTAGCCCTGTGAAACAAGAAAGTAGAGCCGGGTTAAAATTAATGAGATTTGAGGTTTAATGTTCAGTTGGATATTGCTGATTGGTTTGGGTTGGAGGTGTCTGACCTCCACTGTCGCAATCAAGCGTCCTTCCCTCAGGCAGCAGAGGAAGGAAACCTTCATGTGACATCTGGCTGTTGGCCTCGACCACCCAGTGCTTTAATAAACCCCTTCTGTCACAATCACTGGTCTGACTGACGGGAGTGGTGAGGCCAACTGCCGCCCCACCATGCTCGCCACCAGCTAGGGGCCCCTCTAGCCAGGTCTGATTGCCCCTCCCATTTGTAAGGTCCAAGAGCAGAGACCATCTCTCTCACAAAGGCTCTGCATTTTTTGGGGCAACTGTAGTGGTTTGAAACTGTCTGAACACCCTTAAACTTTCATAAAGCCCTTATAACTGCACTTTGGGATGGATGTCAGGAAGTCGGGGTCATTTGTGTAGCCCTAAATTGCAGTTACGGTCTCAATTGGCTTTATCACTTACCATATAACAAAAAGTAACCTGAAATTGACATCTAAAATGACAGCCAACCTTAAACCCTTATGAAAACAAGGAAAAACTCTCACAAAACTTATTAGATAAAACAAAGGTTTCCAGTCAGGGCCTCAGAAACATCCATCTCTATGATTGTCAGGTGTGCAGTGGATGAAGAGCAGCCTAACAACAAAGGTTAAATGTCAGTAACAAGTAGCTGGGATATCAAGGCCGACTTGGTCACCGTTGTCATTGATATTGTCAAGGTTAGTGTAGAATTGACACCTGATGTGATGTCAGCTCAAAATATTTAATTGGAATTGCCTTAGCCGTTGATTTATATAGCTGCTAACATACACATGTTCATGTTTGTGGAAGGCCTGGGGTTCCCCTTTTTTGTGAACATTCTCACGAAAAGTATGCTATGTTTTTAATGCACAGTGTGCACTGACCCATGAAGGTGTAAACTGATTTGCATCAAACATTTTCAAAATGTGATGTGGATTTGCGCAAGGAGCGCATATGTCCACCATAGTGTACTTTGTGGTATTTGTTTTGTTTTCAAAAATGATTTCTTATGCATACTGATGCAATTATATCAAATACAATTTCACCATATCCTAGAATTACATAAGCACTCTGGATATACTATAGGTCAACAGCTTATTTAGTTTCACTCTTGATTCAGCTGGCTAAAAACCTCAAATCTTTGTCACAAGGTAATTTTCTGCATATTAAACAAGACGGCCGGAAACCTCTTTGCTAGGAAGACAGAACAAAGTGCTGAGGAGACATCTTTTAAAGAGGAGTTTGGATCTCAGGAAGGAGGAAAAAAGAAAAGTGGCAGTCAATCTATTTTAGCCCCAGTCTGTTATTCTGTCTGCTATTGAGTAACCAGCATCTGCTCCTCAGGAGACAGTGCTATCTGCCATGCAGTTCTTGATTATGCAAAACACCATCAGTGTTTCCTGACAGTGAACAAGTAGGATATTTGAGGAGCAGTTGCACTACATTGTGCTGCTTTATGTTCATTTTTATTTCAAAGAAGACTCACATTCTGAGGATTTCTGTGACCTTTTATATTATACAGCTAATGTTTTGTTGTTTATTTGTATTTTTTTGGTCGGGGTACAATAGAGTTTGTGTTTTTAGGATTTCTTAGCTCTTAGTTGGCCTGTATCTTTGAGATGCCTGTCTGACAGCCTCTGTGTGAGTCATAACTTTTACGTTTGGAGGGTGTAATGTAAACATTCATGGTCCACCATTAGCCAGGACCACTGCTGTTTTTTTTTTTGTAAAGTCCAAATGATTCACATGGTCATTTTTAGACAGAATAAATGAATGCTGAAAACCAATGTAATTTTGCAGATAGACAAAAACGAGGACATTTACTTCCCTTGTCTGTCGCTACTGTCTGTGCTCTGGTCTACCACAAACTTTGCTTGAGCTGACCGACCTTTTTCTCACATGACTAGTTGGAGTAGCTGAAAGAAAAATCACTACTCTGCAACATGTCTGTTCCTTAGAACAAATAAAAAATCTATCAAAAATAACTGCCACATTCTGGGAGTATATTTGAGACTTACCTGCAGTTTCTACAGTCAAAATCAGAACAGTATCATGTTGACACAGTTTCAGCAACCAATCTGTAACACACAGTTAGGGCCTCGAGTTTCAGTTCAAGGTGTCCTTTCTCATATCCTATAATGTGTACTGTATTTTTAGCTGTAAAACCTTTATACCACTCTACCTGAGAAAAAGCAGGCTGGTTTCCTGATTTGATGAGTGAGATAGTACTAATGTTATTCTTGATTCAAAACATTTGTTTCTATATTCTATATCTCATACTGCATACCACAGAATAATGTGTGCTACATCAGTTTTGTCAGAATTTGAAAGTAGTTAATAATATAATAAGTTGTTGTGTTTTTGTCTGTGTGTTTCTTTCTTTCCAGACTACAGCATTTTAAAGAGTGCATCAGCTTCATCCATGAATGTCGCTTGAATGGTGGCTCTTGTCTTGTTCACTGGTAGGTTTTTATCTAAGCAGCAACCACCTCCTTATTGGCATATTTACTGTGGATGTAGGCTTTCATGAAAGCATGCCCACAAGGATAGAACCAAAAACAAGCCTGACAAGAACAAGTCAGCATTTCCATATAACATTTATCCTATACCGTGAATGAAGATGCAATTTGAGAAGCATTCAGTACCTGTTCTGTTATTTACCTATTCCCAGCAAGAAATAACATGTGAAACACCCAGCAGGTTAATGACAATGACCAAACCGGCCAAATGTCCTTTGTGTTGATGTAGCCTTGCAGGTGTGTCCCGCAGCACTACCATGGTGGTGGCCTACCTGATGACTGTCACACACCACAGCTGGGAAGATTGTCTGTCTGCTGTCAAGGCTGTTCGCTCTTTTGTCGGCCCAAACTATGGCTTCCAGCAGCAGCTGCAGGAGTACCAAACGACACAAGTCTCAGAGGTAGACACACAAAGGAACACAAAGATATGATGAATACATACACACAATACCTACAGAAAACATTCAGGCCCCCCTTTTTTTCCTCAATGGCATGTCTTACCAGTAGCTTTACATTATGTTAACACACAAATGCGTTTGCGTGTTATGTGCTGTTGCTGGTGATTCAAAGGCACTTAGACATGCACAGGAACTCACAGGATATGATGCATATAACCCTCACACTGCACAGGCAGGCCGTGGTTAACCTCACAACCGTTAATTGTGGCTCACTTGTTGTCATGGAACGTGATATACCTGACAGTTGCGGTGGACTGTCTCATGTGTGATTGTTTCTGTGTAATGTTTTTATTATTGTTTGTATAACAACAAACAGTAAGCCATCAACTCTATGACTACACTGGAATTTCTGAGATTCTTAGCTGCAGCCACACACTAAACAGCAACGGCAGAGGGCATCAAACCTCACATCACATCAGGAGACCTCTGTGCAAATAAAAAAAAAAAAGTTGTGAATCAGATATTCAATCAGTAAAATTTCTGAATCTTACTTTGTTTGTGTATGGTTCGTATTATTCATTATTCATTGTATATGAAAAAAATCTAATAATTCATATGAATTCTTATATTTAAATTAGAACTCAGTAAGTGGTCCTAATCCGCTTCTGTTATAACTTAGAGGGCATTGTCCTGTGAAATGCAAATTGTGACTTCTCACTTCTGTAATATGAGGGTTTTATTTGTCACTTTAACCCTCAGTTTTGTGGGAATATGGTGGTTATTTGACAGGTGAGGAGCTTTTTAGGGTACATAATCCATGATCCTGCTCTCTTGGAGACAAAGACCTGCCCTATAATGCTCATAGTTTTGATTTGTCTGCATTCACTTTGAAGAATATTACCACTTATAGGAAATATTAAGTGGTTTAAACTTCCTGGTTTTATTTCCAATCTGGTTTGGAGCATTTTTTTTCCACACAGAGAATATGTCAAGTGGTGTAACTGAGCATATGACAGGTGCACACATCCTTGCATTAAAATGCTGGTTCAAGCCTTAAAGACATTGACAAAGACAATGGTTAACCCTAACCATTGAGTAGAGAAGGGGAACTGTAGGGGGGTTGCTGGGATTGCATCAGCTTGGTACTGCTCATCACGTGTTAAGCATTACTGTCAGCACCTTGCAACATAACATGGCTGAAAAAAAAAGCTCATTGTTTGTAGATCTTGCACTGATTTCGAGGATTTTAAGGGAAATGGGTTTTTTGTATTTGTGCTTTTCCCACATCAGCCTCAAATAGAAAGTGAGGAATCCTCAAGACGACAGTGTCGTTTTGTTACTAATGCAGCTGTAACAACACTGTTTCCTACAACAAGTGGCAGTGACAAGGCGCGTGAAATATGTTGTAGTGCACATCCAATCTTTTGAAAGAATCAAAAAGTTTTGTGCCTTGCCCAATGTCAGTGCCATCGTATGAACCTTAGCCTGTCGGCTTGAACTCAAGCTTTTGTTTCAACTTTAAAGTTAGGACTTGAACTCTAACAGGACAAATTCCCTATTGTAATTCCATCCCATTTACATTTTGGTACATTTGACATCAGTTTTTATGTTTTCATTTCATTTCATTTTCAGTTTAAATGTGGCATACTTGAAAGGACTTTATGGCTTCTGACAAGATTCATTTTCTTTTTCTAGATGACACAGTTGTAGTTAGCAGACTCTTGAGCAACATCTGATATTAGTCCACTTACTGATGTGTTATCTTTATACTGTGCATTTGTAATGTTAATTCACTATGCCTGTTGTCTTGATCCTATGAGTCAGTGCTCTAATGTTTTGTCTTTTAGGTTGCCAGTGAGAATACTAATTTTAGGAAGATGAATGTATTACTTTCAGGGTGACTTTCACTTTGTTGTATTTCGTAAAGAATAAGATATTGCATAAAGTAGTTAATAATTCCTGAACATCATTTGAAAAATTGCAGTTCCTCGTAATTTGGACCAGCTGCTGTCTCTGAAACAACATTGAAAATGCAGTTCTTGTGACAATAAATGTCATAATATTTAACTACTTTTACACACAATTCATACTGTATACTTGTTTCTTCAAAAGCCATTACTAACACCTGCTGAAAGCTTTGCAGCTGTAAGTGATCTTAACACTTCTGTTTATAAGCAAAAGTTTTTCCAAGTGGAAAACTGGAAAAACTGGAAAATGAATTTATGTGACAAGCTCAAAATGAAAAAGTGAGTTTTTGTGCTCGACAACTGAAACACCTGAAAATGCATGCAGATTTAAAACACTGCACCCAAAATACTTTCACACATGCCCACATGGTGTCAACTTGTCAGTTGATTTCAAACCTTACAGATTTGCAATCTTAGGTTCATTATATTGAGGCATTTGGCCAAGTGCTCATGTGGCACCTTTGGTTGGCGATTTTACAGTGACTGAGAACCATGAACCTTGCTCTTCTTATTTATAGAATTTTGTTACATTTTTGAACCAACTTAGTTTAACCAGGCAGTCCAATCATTACACTTGACGACTTGTGTTATACTACGTTGTCATCAGCAGACTTGTTGACCTTCTGATTGGGCAACTTGGATGTATCCTGTCGGATTGTACTGCCTCTTGCTATAAGAGACAACAGATCAACAGGACTGAAATATGAACTATTATGTGCCATGAATTTCCAAGATGATGAAAATACACACACAAGTTGAGTATTTTTAAAGAGGAGATTTTCCTTAAACCAAAATGGGAGTGTAAGAGGAATGAGGGGGAAATCCTGAGTCCCAGGTGACTGTGTGAGCAGGAATGTATGCAGGTATTTCCTGAGAAGTGTTTCATCAAAAGCTCTCTGTATGGCCTTTCCTCCAGTGCAGGCCATTCATTCTATTTATAATGTCTTACCAGGAAGAAACTGAATACTTGGATTATTATTTTAATGACATACAGTTAACAGTTTTTTCTGTCTCTCCTCTTGTCCCCAGTACCGAGCATGGTTAAAGTCCAGTTTCCGTCCCAGTCCATTCAATGACCAGGAGCAGGTGGGGGCCCTGCTGAGCCAGTACACAGAGCAACAGGCGAGCCAGAGGAGAGGAGCAGACCAGCGCTGGATAAATCAGGGTGTAGGTGCTCTGCCGTCTAACTCTGATGATCCTGAAGGTAGCACCTGAAACAACGGCCTCTGGCCATGCTAAAGTCCTGCCCAATTCTGTCTGGAAATGGCAGTAGCTGATATTCTGTACTCAATTCCAAATCAACCTTTAAGTTATATCCAACTTTAAGGCCTTTGTATAACACTGAAAGCATAAGATGAAACAAATGCCCCCTTATAAGCCAAGCCTTTTTTTTTTTTTTTTTTTTTACATTACTTTTTTTTGCATCATAGTCATTTTCAAGCAGTGGAGGTTGATTTAGAATTGGGCTACTGACTCTATTCACTACCAGTACCTCCCATGCTCCCTTAAAGTGTACAGCCACAACAGGGGTATCGGTGCTCACAGACGCCTTACTCTAAACACCTCAGCACCTTAGCCATGATGAATACACCATACTTCCATGTGGTCACTTTACACTGTCAGTGTCCAGCTTGTTAGCCTTAAAGATGTGACGGATAAATGCTGTCTTAAAGGAACATTTTGTATCTAATTATGAGGATGACCCCTCTTTACCCTCTGACAACGAAATTCACAAATCTACAACTACTTTGACTGCAATTATTCTTACCAGTTATTCTGACGTGTACCAGTTTGCAGTCCTGTCCACGCTCTGAATAGTAAACTCTTTGATCAACACTGCAGCTTTGGAAGTAAGCATGCTTGTCAGGCTAACAGCATAAACTTAATGCATATAGAAATAAAGTACCTCCCACTGAAACAAGCGCTACTGCTTGTCAAATGTGTAGACACAATTAACATTGCATGCACCAGTAAAATACACAATAACGAAACAATGATGCTGGCCACTTACAGATGTTACAATAAATATATTACTGTTGCACATCACTGCCCACGTAGTAAACAACATTTGTTTACACCCAGTTGAATGTTGTTCTTTCAGTGTAGTTGGTACTTTTTGTTTTATTTGGGTCCTCTCATGCTGTGTGTACGCTATATGTACCCTCGTCTGCAACAGAATCCGTCACCAACAATCCACAGTGAAACATAGTGAGTTGATATCAGTTAACATTGGCAGATAGCCGGGGAGGAAAAGCTGTGAGTTGGTTCTGTCAGTTCCCAGCAGCTTTGTCCCAGCTAACAAAACTGCTGCTGACGCATCTCTTATCAAGCAGAGCAGCAGTTAACCCTAACCCGGCAACTGATATCAGATAAGCCAGGGCTGCCATTTGTTAACAAACTGTGGACTGATTCATATCATGGCCATTTAGAGACATGCATCTAAGAGAAATATCTGGAGTAAGTTTCAAAATTGGCAAAAGGTTCCTTTAAGTAATACATAACAGGGAAGCTACATAAAGTATTGCTGAGTAAAACTATAACTACATATGAAGGACCTCTGCAAGTCTTCCTGATTTTACTGAAGCTCTGGTTATCTTTTTATCTTTTTTGTGACAAAACTGATTTTGAGGGAATATGTGTTATAAATTCATGGGTAACGTTAATTTTTTTAATTGTGTATTTATGGAGTTTTTTTTTTTTTGGTTTTATAATAAAATGCAGTGATTGACAAAAAATATAGAAATGCTAATAAACCTGCACTATCAACACCATGGTGTGTGTCTGTGTGTAAATAAAAGAAATCCTGGGTAGAGAAAATTAGCATATACATAGCTAGTATTGAAGAGCACAGCTATCCTGTAAATCAGCTGCTTGTCTCATGGTAACCGCACTGAGTAAACCCCAGAATAGTTTTTCTATTCTTTTTCAGGTTTCTGGGTTTTACTCAGCAGATCACCTGGTAATGCTGCTCTATACCACAAGCCTCTGACTGTGCAGCTTCATGCAAATAGACAGTTACTACTAGACGATAATAACGAACAATGTGAGTGAGTGTGAGTTTAATGTGTATAAGAATTTGTTCTTCTCTGATGTTTTTGTCCTTTGTCTTCAACAATCTAAATGTATATCTTGCATATCAAACATTTTACACATAAACAAACAGAATTACCAAAATAACATGATCACAGTAATTTTAATGTTAACTTAAAATGACTGTCACAGTTTGAGTGCTAAGGAGACACATCAAGACAAGGTGTCTAATGAACAGAAAAGCTATTTAAACAAGTGCCAGGCCTGACTATCAATTTACCCTCATTAAACTCACCAGGAAATACACTACTACCTGTTTCCTTGGAACCGATTTCTGTCAGGAGGCCAGTGGGGTTGCATTAACTCCACTCTCGGTGTACCGCAAGTGTTTGGCTTCTAAATTGCAATTTACAAATGACCTTAAATTGAAATTATAATAATATTCCCATTACCTACAGTATATGTGCTTATTCTGAGCTTTCATAGCTGGAAAAACCTTGTGAACAGACCTTCCTATGTGTGTATGGTCCATGTATATAGGCATGCTCAGGCAGGCTAAATCCTGGCAGGGCACCCAGAGAGGTGGTGTTTACTCTGTAATCAAACAGAAAGCATAAAGTCAGGCTTCCTGTAAATTTAGCAAAACTTAATAATGAAAGGGAATGAAGTTGGAATATTAACAGGCTTTAATCTGTTCAGTGTAATTGGTGTAATTATCATACTATCAAGTTTGTATAATAATGATAACAATGGGCTTCTTGAACTGAACTGAATGTCATTGGTGGATTTGTATTTTTTTTGTCAGATGTGGATGCACAGAACTGGTGAACTCGTTCAATGATGAAGACAGAAATACTTTTAATTTTATTTGGCACTGGATGTTATCAAGGGAACTGACTAATTATTTTCATTGTCTGTTAATCTGCAGATTATTTTCTTGATTAATGAGCTTAATCCTTTGGTGAAAATTGTCTGTTGCATGTTTCTAAACCCCAAGCTGATGTCTTCAAATCGCTTGTTTTGTGGATAAACGGACTAAAACTCCCAAATGATAAATTTACTATCACATAAGACTAAGTAATAACAGGAAATCCTCACAACAGACAAGCGGTATCTAGTGAATGTTTGATATTTGACCATTAATTTTCTGCCGATTGAGTAATCAGTGAATTGATTATTCATTTCAGCATTATATCAGGCCCAACAGAATATTACAGGAATGTTATGACATTATGGTAGATAGACAGTAAGGGTAAATGAGGAGGACTCTGTCAAAACAACAGCTTTTTAAAAAAATTTTTTTTTTTATTGCTAACAGCATAACGTTTGGCCCATGGGCGTCTGGTAGAAAACAATGAAGATGGTGGATAGAAAAATAACATTTATCTGTATTTAGTCCACTGTAAATCCCGCTTTGATCCTAATATCAAATAGTCTATTATTCACCATATTGAGTTATACTTACTATCCTCCGACCATGGTATCTTCCTATTTGATAGTAATATTTGTCTATTTGATAAAAGACAAGAATGTCCCAGAGGACTTGGTTAACTGGAATCAACCTTCATCATCATAACACAGACGAGATGCTACTTTACCTGCACAGTAACTCTAAGGTTTGTCATGAGGCTGAGTGGGTGTGGAGGGGACGCTTTACTCTAGTGTGGAGCTGAGAAATCCCCCACAGCACAGAGTAACTTGTGACTCTCCGGGTTTATTCAGAGCACCACGTCTCCGCGGCGTGGGCAGCGACTTTATAACCATTGCTTGTGTCAGGCCATTTCTTGTAAATGCGCACAGTTAGGAGAACAACACTTCCGCAATGGGCCGGCCGATTGAAGCTCGACGCACTCATTGGTCAAAATGACGCAGCTATTTCATTCATAGCACGGAGCGCAATAAAATTGATGGTTATGTGCCGGTGACAGCTCACTTGAAAAAATCTAAGAGTAAGAAATCTGTAAGCCTCTCTGGATAACACACACAGGGCCAAGAGCTCAGATCTTTATCAAACTGTAAGTGCTTTTACTTTTGATTTATATTCTAATGGGTGAACGTTGTGGAATACAATTTAAAGAAATACCTTCACTTAAGATTAATCGTTATATTGAAAGTTGAAAATATCTTTAAAGTAAGTAGTAAAATTTATATAGTGAATTATATCCTCCTCATTTAGGTACGAGTAAACAAATCCAAAAACATCGAGATGTCAAACTCGGGAGGTCGGAGACTGAAGCAGTGGCTGATGGAGCAGATCCAGAGTGGTCAGTACTCCGGGCTGCTGTGGGAGGATGAAAGCCGCACAATGTTCCGCATTCCATGGAAACACGCAGGGAAACAGGATTACAACCAAGAAGTAGATGCATCCATTTTTAAGGTTTGACAGCACTTTTGAGTAGTCCCGGGGAAAGATGACTAAAGATTAGTGTAGATAGACTTTTGGTTTTACGTAGCGCTGCAAAGTAGAACCAAAAACTTGATAATACATCGTGGTGGATATGACTGAATTGCGCTTCTTCAAGTCTGGTTCTCTTGGGGCCAAATGGAAATGATCATCTAGGCTTTGAAATGTCTTTGTTTTGATTCATTTCTAGCATAAGAAACTTTTAATTAAACTAAATTGAATGCATTTATATAGTTTTTAAACAATAATAAAGCTATAGCCCAGTAAAGCTTCAGTGTTATTCTCACACTAAAATTGTAGCCTAAATAAGAAATTGCCACAATTCATTAATAACAATTCTTTCTTTCTTTCTGCTGAAAAAGAAGACCAGCCTTATGTTTCTTTTTAAAGTGTCCAGTTTTACAATATTTTCCAGTACCACAGTTAATATTTAGTTTTCCCTCTACAGGCATGGGCTGTGTTTAAAGGCAAGTTTAAGGAGGGGGACAAGGCTGAGCCTGCCACATGGAAGACTAGGCTCCGTTGTGCCCTCAATAAAAGTCCTGACTTTGAGGAGGTGACAGAAAGGTCGCAGCTGGACATCTCTGAGCCCTACAAAGTTTATCGCATTGTACCAGAGGAGGAGCAGAAGCGTGAGTTTGTTTTATTGTGACCTTTATGCCTCTATTTTAGTCTTCTTGGACATTTGAACCACTGATGTCTTGAAAGCCAGCAATGATGACCTTCAACAGAAATTTTGCATAATGCTATTTTGTAAATTATCATTAGACAATGCATGTCCCAGAATAAAATGTATCAAAAAAATATGTGAATCATGAAAGACAGTGCAGCTGGTAAAACCACTTTTTGTACTATGAAAAGAATCACAATTTGCTATTCTGTCACCCACAGATGGAAAAAGCTCAGTTATGGCCATGGCAGCAACCACTAGCTCTGGTGATATCACTGACTGCAGCCCTGCAGAAATAGAAGAGCTCATTAAAGAGGTGAGACTGCCTCTCACTGTAAAGCAATAACTTATCTCTCACCTCTCTCTCGCTGCCTGCTGTCACATCTGTTTCTACATGCCCTTTGCTTTTATTGTCACTCAGCTTTTGTGTTATTTTTTCTTTCTGACCACACTCTGCTGTCTTCTCCAACACTTGCTGCATAGCACATGCACACCCTCCCACTTGATCTTCGTGTTTATGAAGTGCACAAAGGCGATTGTTGACAAAAACCCATTGTGTTGCTGTATTTTGCAGGAAGAAGGCTGTAGCATCCAGGCCAGTCCAGAATACTGGTCCCAAGGCAGCATCAATGGTAAGACAACTTTTTCTACCCACTTATTAAATTTAGCTTTTCACAGCTCTGTCAGTTGTTGGTCGATGGTTGTCCGGGCATCTCTGCCTTTTGTCTCATCTCTCAAGAAAGACTGCTAGTTCCGTCTTCGTGAGATGAGCTTTAATGTCTTTGAGAACAACCACAGTGGAAAGCACAGTGACAGCTGTGGGTGCTAAATAGAGGTTATTTGCTTGTCTGTTGAATTCTGCAATGGAAGTATTGACTAACATCCTGTTGAACTTTGCTGACTAAGTTGATTATTTCTTTGGGAGATTGTGCTGGTGAAATGGTATTTCTGATGATGCAGCAAAATAATGACATGACATTGTGGTCGTGTCCAGTGTGTCAAAAAGACCCTTCCCTCACCTCTTCCTCCTCCTCCTGTTATTCACAGCTTTCCCACTGCATCAGGACCCTTTGCCATCAGGCACTATCAGCTCAGGTATTTATTTATGTCATAATAACATTAGATCTATAGTTAAGCATTGCTATTTATAATGGAAAAAATGTAGTATAACATACAAGGTATATACTTTGTATCATTATTTGTGTAACCTTTGTACTTATTCTTTTACATGTTCTCCTCTCCAGCTTTCTCCCAAATGATGATCAGTTTCTACTATGGAGGAAAGCTAATGCAGAACACACTGGTTACTCATCCTGAAGGCTGCAGGATCTCCCCACAACAGCACCTGGGTCGTGGCTCCCTCTACAGTTCAGACAGCATGCAGAGTGTTCATTTTCCCCCTGCTGAGCTCATTGAGTACGACCGCCAGCGCCATGTTACACGCAAGCTCCTGGGCCACCTGGAGAGAGGTGTGCTGGTCCGTGCTAACCAGGAGGGTATCTTCATCAAAAGGCTGTGTCAGAGCCGTGTCTTCTGGAGCGGGCTGGGAGAAGTGGGCTCACAATACAGCCCCATGCCTTGTAAACTTGAGAGGGATGCTGTAGTTAAGATCTTTGACACAGGAAGGTTTCTTCAAGGTAAGCCAAGTATTTGAAAGCTCAGAAGAGTCAAAATCAATGCAAAACTCGTTGTTTGAACAGCTGTTCACATATTTTTTTTGTTCCAGCCATGCAGCTATACCAGGAGGGTCAGTTTCCTGCTCCTGATCCGACAATAACTCTGTGTTTTGGAGAGGAGCTCCATGATCTCAACAATGCTAAGAGCAAACTGGTCATTGTGCAGGTAAGACCAGTCAAGTCATAACATGTGTCTCACTCAAACATTTCACTGATTGAGAAGCATAAATATCAGTTGTTTTTTTTTCCACTTAAAAATTGCAGTCTTGACACCAACATACGAAAAAGACAAATCAATCTAAATAAAAACGCCTCTCTCCCTTTGGCAGATCACTATGGTGAATTGCCAGCACCTGCTGGAGGCAGTGAACATGCGCCGCTCTCAGCCTTACTGCAACAACCCAAACCTGGATATGTCTGATGCCAGTGACCAGATGGCTCGCATCTACCAGGACCTGTGCAGCTACACTGGACCCCAGAGGTCAGCCTGCTACAGGGACAACATGCCTATCACAGCCTGAACAGCATGTACTAGACAAAATGTACAACATATTAGGGACATTCCCGATTTTCCTGACATACACTGACAAGGTGAATTCACATAAAAGCCATTATCACCACCGGTTTTGGACTGTTTAAATTCATAACAGTCTCAGTGGAGACATAAAGATAAGGAAGAGCAAATCTCTTATAGTAAGGCTGCAGCTCGATATTAGCATGTCCCTAATATTTGTATATAAGTTTATATATTCTGGTGCCTATTGTAACAAATCTTCTATGTCTTTAAATACTTTAATGAAAAGTCTCTCTACAGTATGATCATTTAGGCAACTTAGTTCTCACAACTGCAGTTTATTACAATGTGCGTCATCTTCTATGCTGTTGTTTTTGCACTTGAGTCAGTTCCTTATGTGATGACCTTATGACCAGAACAAATGGAAATTTTCTCAGATATTGTTGTATTTTTACAGTAAATAATAAATCTTTACATGAGTTTATAAAAACTGCATGGAATTTAAGATGCAATGTGGCATTATATTACAGATAGGTTTTACTATCAGTTTTACTTGACCTTTATGTCATAATTTTTTATAAACTTTCTAATAAAATTATGTTTGTACTGAAGTATACACGTCTTTGTCATGATATAATCATATTTTTATATGGATTGATTTTGACTGTTGAATTATTATTAAATTG